CTAATATTTAATATTGCGTAACGAATTTTGAAAACTGATTTTAAAAAAAAATAGTATTTATGTAGTTCAATCAAGATATCAAGATTTTCCCAGTGACTAACTAGATGAAGTTTAAGAATAAATTAAGCATAGAAATATGTCGTCACTCCAATGACAAAGTTGACTCGTGCTAAGATTAAGTTCAACAAAGCTGTTACAGTCATATGACTAAAAAGTGTGGGGCACCCATTTAGACAATGTTCTTTGCAAAATGCACGAAGCTGTATATGTGTCACTAAATGCATTCCACTTGTCAAGATGATGGTCGATGACAGCATACAACAATAATACAAGACAGTTGTGAGAACTCAAAAGCGAAAATGTATATATATTTTTTAACGACTAAATTGTAATTTTAAACCCAATGAAACACTAGAAATGTCTGCCTTTCACAGGTTACAATGAGCCGAGTCGAACCTATGCCATATTGCTACCCTCGATGGATTTGATGATGGTCCTCCCCATACATACAACAAACAATAGAAACAATACGTGTAAGGATATCCTGAGCGAGCTAAGATTTTTTCTGCGATCCCTTTCGCGATACAAACTTTGCAGTTGTCCGAAAATGCTGCCCCTCCATCGAAAATGTTTGTTACATCTGGCAGTGGCGTAGCTAGAGTGTTTGGTGTCATGATACAAAATTAATTTTTTTAACCCCCCCCCCCTTTTTTTTTTTAAAACTCCGAAATCCATTGATTTTATTCATTAAAAAAACAAAAAATCCTATTTTAGTGCCCCCCTATTCTGGTGTCCCCTCTATGCTTCACTTAGCTACGCATCTGTCCTTGGCGCCGCCTAACTGAAAATCTGAAGTGCCCCCGCTCCCTCCGGAGGAAATAGTCTGAAAGAAACACTGATGGCACTGATGGCACTGATGGCACTGATGGCACTGATGGCACTGATGGCACTGATGGCACTGATGGCACTGATGGCACTGATGGCACTGATGGCACTGATGGCACTGATGGGACTGATGGCACTGATGGCACTGATGGCACTGATGGCATTGATCAAGTCATACGACATCACTGTATTTCATAGGCTGAAAGAAACACTGATTGCGTTCATCAAGTCATACGACATCACCGTAGTTCATGGTCTGAAAGAAAAACTGATTGCATTGATGAAGTCATACGACATCACTGTATTTCATGGGCACCCCACCCTCTTTGGTCATATGGCTGTAACAATTCTTAAGATTTGGGCGATATTTTTTGGATATTCTCTAGTACATATTTTGAAAAACGTGCATAATTTTTTGTTTGTTTGTTCGTTTGTTGTGGTTTTTTTGGTGTGTTTTATTTGTAGATTAAATAAGCCCTAAAAAGAAGTTTTTTCGAGTAAATCTTTTATAAAATGTATTATCAAGAAATGAAGGGGTGGTGCTGAGAAGTTAACAAAACATGCATACATGTAACACACTTTATAAGATCCCAGGCTCGCAACCGCACATTTGTTCACGCTCCTTAACGATATTGGTATTCTAATGACCCACCCACTTCTGCACCACACGTTCATTTCTCCAACTGCTTAAAAAAAAATAATAATAATAAAAAATAAAAGAAAATATATATGGCAACCTTCCGTCTTCGTGAGGCGATGGAGTAGCTATGTAGTTCTACACTTTGACGAGTGGCTCACTAGGCCAATCCTAGAATGACAATCTCGACTGCATTTCTCGCAGGAGAATATTGATTCCTGGTAAGATTTTGACTTCCATATTGTGGTTTTTTGTTTTTTTGTTTTTTTGTTGTTGCAGTGGCCTCATTTCGCGTATCTTGTGCCTATTTTGACTCCTTCATACATTGCTGTTCGCCAGCTGCAACGTTGTTCGGCAATGAGCTCCCATTCGTTGTTTTCCATATTGGCTTCCCTCATGCTCCTTTTGCAACCGTCAATAAATCTGAGGCGTGGCCTTCCGATAAGTCTTGTCCCTTCTGACAACTCTCCATACAGCATCATCTTTGGGTTACGGCCTTCCTCCATTCTCATTACATGGTCTAACCAGCGAAGACGCCCATTGATAAGAGCGGAGAATATGCTAAACATGTGTGCACGTTCCAAGACCTCTGTGTTAGGCAGCTTTTCCTGCCATTGAATGCGTAAAATGCGACGCAGACATCTTTGCTGTTGAATTTCTGCTTCTGACTGGTATATGTGGTCCACATTTCGCTGCCATATAGGAGCGTACTAAGCACACATGCCTGATAGACACTTATTTTTGTTTTATCAGTTAGATTGATACTATTCCACACCCGCTTATTAGAGTTCAGCCGCATAGTTGCTGCTTTTGCGATCCTGACATTTATCTCTTCATCAACGGAGAAAGAGCTTGAAATATAGGGACCTAGGTATGTGAAATGCTCAACAAAAGAAAATATTACGCACCAAACGCACTTGCGATATCTTTTAAAAAGATTCTCATTTAACGCAGTTATCGGGAATTTTATATCGTGAAATCAGAGCTATAATACTTCCTTCATCTTTCCACGAAAAAACGGGAAGAAAAGGATTTTTGGTAGTTGGGTGTGGAGGGGGGGGGGGGGAGGAAAATTTCAAAGCATGTGTTTTATGCGGAAAAAAATTCCATGTGTCAAGTTTCAGCTCGATAGGTTAACGGGAATTGGGTCAATTAACGAAAAAAAAGGGACTTTGGTATAAAGGATTTAAAAAGTAACGGTTTAGGATTATACGCGGTCACGTGATGTCCTTGAATGCCAGCAATTCTTGCATGGTGGGTTGAGGTCCGTTTAACACACGTTAGTTCACCTACCCCTACCCCCACATAGGAGGTTTTTAAACAGTCAGCTTTTTTTTACCCGAGACACGGTCTCAAACCTATGAGTTGTTGTTTATGTAAAGTGAATTAACTTTCCATGATCGCAGTATTTTCTCACTATTTGAAAACATAATATAGGACAGCTTGTGTGATTATCTTAATGAACCACGAACTAATTAATAACATCATTCATTCTTAAGAGTAGGGGTCGTTAGTCAACCTTGATGAGCCCCCCCCCCCCTTTTTTCCAATTTTTCTATGCCACCGTCCAGCACAGCGTCTGTAATTTAATGGACCCACTGGATGGACCCACTGGATGGACCCACTGGATGGACCCACTGGATAAAACCACGAACTAATTAATAACATCATTCATTCTTAAGAGTAGGGGTCGTTAGTCAACCTTGATGTGCCCCCCCCCCCTTTTTTCCAATTTTTCTATGCCACCGTCCAGCACAGCGTCTGTAATTTAATGGACCCACTGGATGGACCCACTGGATGGACCCACTGGATGGACCCACTGGATAGACCCACTGGATGGACCCACAGGATGGACCCACTGGATGGACCCACTGGAATCCAAGCTTTAGAAAAGGACACCTCTGCACAAAAACACCATTTTTTAAAAACTTTTAAGTCAATGGCGTAGGTAGGGGTTGTGCCCCCCAGGGCCGGTCACGATCCCCCACCCCCAACGAATAAACTCTGCACTTAGTCGAAAATGCCGCCCCCCTCAATGTATATTTAAAAAGAAACTTCTGGAGTGGACCCTCATCCCCTTTTTCTACTCCACCGCGCCGAACAGCTTTAAATATCTAATACCAATAATCACGTGACACTGTGGAGGCACTCTGTTCTATTGGTACCCTACTCTGGAGGCACCCTGCTCTGGAGGCACCCTGCTCTGGAGGTACCCTGATCTATTGGTACCCTGCAGGGCCGCCGCTAGGAGCGTGCGGGGCCTTGGGCAAATTGAATTTTGAGGGGCTGTTAACGTTATATATATTCCGCCGATAGGATTTTAAGACACGTTATAGTCGTACTAGGGCCTTGCTGGTCATAATGGGACGCGTCATAACGGATATTTGTTCACTCGCTTAGTTTCCGAAATTTCTATGTTTTCCTATAACAGTTAATTGCCCTGACCCAAATTACTCATCGCGGCTCCATTGTTACCAATATCAAGGTTGTCAAACACAAATAACGAAAACTCGAAGCTGAATGAGCCATTGTAATCTGGACACAAGCAAAACACAAGCAAAAAATGTAGTACGGCAACGCAAGGGGCCTTGGGCGATAGCCCACTTCGCCCTCCCCTAGCGCCGGCCCTGTACCCTGCTCTGGAGGCACCCTGCTCTGGTGGCACCCTGCTCTGGTGGTACCCGGCTGTGTTGGTACCCTGCTCTGTTGGTACCCTGCTCTAGTGGCACCCTGCTCTGGTGCCATCCTGCTCTGGTGGCGCCCTGCTCTGGTGGCACCCTGCTGTGGTGGCACCCAGCTCTGGTGGCGTCCTACTCTGGTAGCACCCAGCTCTGGTGGTACCCTGTTGTAGTGACACACAGGTCGGGCTCGGGTGGCTCCCGGCTCTAATGACACCCATCTCTTCTATTTAAGTAAGATTGATTTTGAAATCTACTCCGGCAGGCTCAGTCAAATTTGAAATTTTGATGGTTTCTCTTTGAGTGCCCCGCGTCCCTCAAATTTAACCACTGCCCTAGTGAGCCTTGTGATTTTTTGTCTTGGTCCCCTTTTCATTTTAATTTCTATAATAGAAATGAAAATAAAGTAAATGTAAACAAACATATTATTATATATACAGGCATATACAGGCATATTGATTAAAGCATAACTTATTAAAAAATTCTAGTAATTTTATGTAAAATATAATAAGAATTGTATGTACATCAATTGATATTTCCATGCACATGTCATAAAAGGTTGGTCAAGGTTTTTACTATCAACCGTTGAAAATGGTATGCCAAATGGCCATTAAATAAGACTTTTTTAAAATTGATGTAATATAAAATACCCTGTGAATAAAATTGTGTATCAAACAAAAAGTATTTTTAAAAAATACATTGAAAATAGTAATCATCAAGTGTAAAAATATATGTAATAAATATTTATAAATTAAAAAAAAAACAATCTTAGTATTTAACATTTGTCACCAATGAAACTGGCCAACACACTGCGCCGCCATCTTGTCAAGGTACCTTAACGCACTCATTGATACGATTCAATAACTTTATATTTTCCGGTACTTAAGTATTTTATATTTGTTGATTTATTAACTAGAAAAATAGGTTATATTGTTTCATATTTATAAATCAATTATTCATTTTTTAAAATATTATTTTAGGAAAATTCTCAAAGGCAAACTACGACGAGTGGTAACGAGGACCACCCAAATTACTTCCTTGCTTGAAGTTTTGATTGTGGCTTGTCCGATTATCGTGTCTAGACTTGTTCAGTCGACACTTTTCAATGTGTATGTATATCAGTAATATTTTGTTTGATTTAAGAAAGTTAAGACGTAGCTTAACCATGATTGTAATTTTACCTATGATTCTAGGCACTTTGGTAAAGAAAGGGAGACCTTCCAAAATTTGATATTAGCTAGGCTCAGTAGACTATTTGAGTAGAATCCTAGTTTTTAATTTATGTATGGACATGCTGCGTTCTCATTGATGAAAGGATATTTTGTCATAAAACTGTCGTATTCATTCATACGTTAACAGTAGTAGTCGTAGTGAACATCTAGCCTAGATACTTTGGTCAAAAATGTAAACATTTTTTAAAAATAAACCAATGGCACAGTTGAATAGAGCTAATTTTAAACAGAATTATAACACCAAAATCATATTTTTAACTGTTGTAGTTTTAAAGTTATGAATTTTTAAAGTACGACTTGGTTTGTCATTTTTTAACATGGACTGCATCTCCACATTCTGTGACCTCATTCCACTGATCGCGTCATGCGCAATGACTATATAGTTTATATAAGGCAACGCATTCCCTATCACTAAAATACTGTTTAGGGTCGACTTATTTTAAACTTTCAACTTTGGCACATGAATAATTAATAAAAGCTTTCCCTGACCAATGGTTTAATAGCTTTTGCACACGGCAAACTCTTATGAATGAAACTCTGAGATAGTACTACGACGTAGCCGTTATGCAAGTGGCTGTGAATGGTTGCCAATGACAACGTGTTGCACAGGGAAAATTCTGATCATTTATAATATGGACTCTGCAGGGTTTTTAAAGCTCAAATTAAAACATTTCCAGTTTAAATGTCTTCAAAATGCATTCTGAAACACAAAATATAAAATATTTTGATGTATATAGTGGTAATAATTAAATATTTCCTAAGTATCGGCAACTTCCGCCATTAAAAAGGGGGCGTGGCCCACGCCATGTCGAAATTAGGCTGAGCCACCTTATGGTGATATGGGTCACTGTGACAAGTGTAACAAACGTGAGACACGACCTACATCAATGAAACTTGGCACAGATATAGATCAATATCTAATGCTCATACAGATTTAATCAAAAAGGACCTTATCTTATTATTTCACAAAAAATTTTGTATGCGAAGATGCCTTATATATACCAAAGATTTTCAAAATAAAGGTCGATTGAAAAAAGCAAAATAGCTGGCTAGAAATGTAGGCCAAGATGTCTTCCAAATTATAAGGCCGGAAACGGGACTCAAATATATGTGGAAATAACTAATTTAATAATAAATAGACACACACATCGGAAAATTAAAAACTCGGATTTTTCGGCGCCGACAGCCATTTCCGATACAAAAAAAATAGTAGTCTCCCTTGTTTCATCGAAGTATCTAATCTAGGCCTAAATTTCCAGCGTAATCTTTTTCTTTTCAAATCACCCCAAAATTCAATATTTTTAGTATTAGAAATTCCAAGGTAAATTTTAAAGGGCATCTTTCCCTACAATGTAGGTGCTTTGGTTGGTAAAAATGTTGTAAAAAATAAACCAATGGCATAGTTGAATAGAGCTATTTTTTTTAACAGCATTATAACACCGAAATCCTATTTGTAGCTGTTGTAGTTTTAAACCGTATGAATTTTTCAAGTACGACTGCATTTGTCACTTTTTTAACATGGACCGCATCTCCACATTCTGTGACCCAATTCCGCTGTTCGTGTCATGAGCTATATAACTCGTTTTAATGATAATTTTATATATAACTGTTATTTTCAGAACTAATGGTGTATTAAAAAATAATTTTAATAATGTTATACAATTATTCAATTATAAAGTGCAGCTTATCTAACAGTGCACAAATTATATCAGTAAAATGTATTAATATATGGCTTTTCTGTTTACCAAATCTATTGCATTATGTCTTCCATTATACCGGTTTATGCTATATGAATATGATCTATAAAAGCAATTCATCCCCTTATTACTTATAACTTGCATACTTTTTGGGAACTACTTATTTTGAAATTTTAACTTCGGCACATGACTAATTAATTAAGGCTGTGGCTATTGGTAGTAAACTACCAGTAGCTTCTAAGCGGCTATTGGTTGTTTACTATAAAAAAAACCACCAATTGGTGATAGATTGATATAGTGCAATAATTATTGGTAGTCACAATTTATTTTTGATTACAACACTGAAATCAACCTAAAGTATGTATGTTGCCAAAAAAAACATGTGCCAACATTTTGTATTGTTTTCGTCTAGTCTCATAAATTCACTCCAATCGGGTTTTCTAAACATAATACACTCGTTTTTATTTCTTTGTGTATAGTTTATTTTATTTATGTTTTCATCAAAATTATGTGCAGTTTAAAACATTGATTCTGCATACTCTACATAGCATTAAAAGTAAACGGTGATTCCTAAACATTAATTGATTAATTTGTGTTTTAGTTGCATAGTATACCGAATGAAATTGTTTATTTGTACATAAATATATCGATGCCTTTATAACTTAATGAGGGCTCATTTATGTAAATAACACTCAGTAGACATTTCTCCCAACAACAGAAAATCAAAAGCAGAGGGGGAGGTGTGAGGGAGGTTTTGGTTCAAGTGACCATGTTCCTAAAAATGATTGACTTAAGCTTACTTTATCATCCTTAAGGCTTAAGGATGATAAAATAAGCTTAGGCCAATCATTGTTAAGTTAAGCCTAATCACGTTATTATACATTTTCATTTAACTAATGTAAAAAAGATTTTGATTTTAATATGCACACTTTGTATGCAGTAAAACTTATGGTATTTATTTAGGCCAGTATTTTAATTTATAATTTTAATCATAATAATTATCACACATACAATTTTTACAGCTGGATTTTATTTTTACTGCACATCTTACTTTGGCCTTGGCAAAGAAGAAGCTGGGTTAAAAAAATTCCGACTATGATTCCCCTCAGTATCATACATCTATCTAAGATCTATAATAGGTCTATATTATAAATTATATAGCAATATAGCCAAATCTGAGCATGGGGAAGGCTGCAGCAGATAGTGTTAAAACTTTAAAACAGTACTGTAGATTTATAGTTAGTGCTGAGGTGTTGTCACTAGTACAAACTAGTAATAATTGAACGGCGCAAAACTTCGCCAGCCTTATTGGAAGCGGGTAATTAAAGCTCAGATTTTTGTTTGATTTGATTGGCTGGACTACCAATAGCTCTCAAGAAGCTATTGGTAGTTTACTACAAATAGCTCCCTGCCCTAACTAGAATAGGTAGTAAACTACCAATAGACTCTTTCTTAATTAAAGATTTCCCTGACCTGGTTTAATAATTTTTGCACACTGCAAACTTTTATGAATGAAAATTCTGAGATAGTACAGTATAGCCGTTATGCAGGCAACTGAATGGCTTGCCATGGCCATGACATTTTGCTCACTGCAAATTATGATCATTTATAATATGGACTCTACCGAGTTTTTTAACTTCAAATTAAAATATTATTCTTTCAATAACATTTAAGTTCATTCTAAAACATCAGTTATCTAATATTTTGATGTACATACTGTACATGTGGTAATAATGAAATATTTTCTAAGTATCGGTATCTTCCGCCCATGCCATGTCGAAATTAGGCTGAGCGACATTAAGCGTAAACGAACTTTGGACACGACCTACATCAATGAGAATTGGCACATGTACACATCAATATACAATGCTTTTCACTTTTTAATATGAAAGACCTTTTCTTTGAATTTCACAAAACAATTTGTATGCGAAGATGCCTTATATATACCAAAAATGTTCAAAATAAAGGTAGATTGAAAAAGCAAAATAGCTGGATGGAAAAGTAGGCCAACATGTCTTCCAAAATGAAAATGTGGAGCGGAACTCTATTACATGTCAAAAGGACTCATTTATTAATGAATTGACACTCGCATTAAAAAATTAAAAAGTCAGATTTTACTGCGCCGACGCCCATTTACGATACAAATTTTTAAATGGTCTCTTGCTTTACCGAAGTGCCTACTACAATGCCTACAAAATTTTTGAAGAAGTTCAAAACATTTGTCTGTGTCTTTCATATTTAATCTTCCTGTGCATGATAAATTGACGTGTGTGCCAATTCTCATTGATCTAGGACATGTTAGCCATTAATTTAATTATACTCATCCAAGTAACCTGCATTATCATTAGGTCACTCAGCCCAATTTTGACCATGCCTCCTTTTTACTTACGTAAGATGTCAATACTAATGAAATATTGGTTACAGAAATATTCAATTATTACCATTGTTACATCAAAATATTTGATAGTTTTTGAATTTAGAAAGGAGTTAAACAAATATATTTTAATTTGAGATTTAAAAACCCAGACCATGCATAGCATTATAAATTTTCATAATTTGCTGTGTGCAAAACGTCATGGGCAACCGTTCACTCACTATGTACTATACAACATTATTATAACTCATAGTTTCATTCATAAGAGACAGCTATGTCATGTGCAAAAACTATTAAACCATTGGTCAAGGAAAGCTTTAGTTAATTAGCCATGTGCCAAGTTGAAAGTTCAAAATAAGTACCGTAGTTTCTAAACAGTATTTTAGTAATAAGGGGATGTGTTGCCTTATATAAACTAAATAGTCATTACGCATGACACAATCAGCGGAATGAGGTCACAAAATGTTGAGGCTTCATCCATAGTAGAAAATACCAGACAAACTCGCACTTTATAAAAATTCGTAGCTCAAAAAGTATTAATTAAATCTATAAAGTTGATTCTGGTTTCATTTTTTAATTTGAAATTTGACCTAAATAACTGTAATATTTAAAAATATTATTTTGAATTTTTTTTTTTACTGAAGGACCTAGTCATGTTCAAAAGTAGAAAGTTCAAAATTAGTAGTCCCAAACCAGTATTATTTTTAGGGGGATGTTTTGCCTTACATAGTCTATATATATATAAAATATATATAATGGATGCCTTTGAAGTTTGTTCTTCACCTAGGGTTGTCATCCATCCCGATATATCAGGACCGTTATGGACCTTCTTGTAATCATATTAAATACATTTTTTACTTATTTTCTACACCCCCATCTCAGAGTCTCCGGCGTAGTCCCAGCTAGATTTGGCAACCCTATCTTCACCGCTATTTAAATTAATTTTTTTTACTTATACCTACATTATTATATCAATCATCCACATAAGATAATAAATTACTGATTGGTATTATTAATAACCTAACCTATTTTCAGCCACAATGTCACGTTACAGCAGAGCACCAAATGACTGCAAAGTTTATATTGGAGACCTGCCTAAAGATGCTTCAGAGAAAGAGCTGGAGCGAGCGTTTAGTTATTTCGGTCGCTTAAGAAATGTTTGGGTGGCTAGAAACCCTCCAGGCTTTGCATTTGTTGAATTTGAAGATTACAGAGATGCTGAAGATTCAGTGAAAGAAATGGATGGAACGTAAGACTGATGATATCAATATAGTTTTTAGAAATCAATAACTTTTTTAAAATTTCAAAAGCTTAACCCATCATACCATATAATCTCGCCTCCCCGCGCAATGTTAGAATGTTGCTAAATTGTATATATACAAGGGAGCTTTTTGTAAAATATTTCATTCAATGTACTGATTGAGTGAGGATAATGGGCTAAACACAACACACACACCCCAATTTTGCTTATACTGATGCCCAAGAGAAGTTGAGTATCTGTACTCCTGGTTTACAGAAATTCGAATCTAAAAATGTACACTAAAAATGCATTTTAAGATAAATTTTTACTGTTACTATTTTCTCATTGCACTTTTTAGAAGTAACTTACATACAGAAGAAAAATTAAATGATTTATTTTGGACTTATTTGAATAAATTCATATTTCTCCACAGAAACATTTGTGGTAGCAGATGCCGGGTTGAGCTATCCACTGGAAAAGTTCGTCCTAAACCATGGCTTAGAGGAGGTCGTGGTCCAACAAGGAGTAGGCGTGCTTTTAATCCGGATGATCGCTGCTATGAATGTGGGGAAAGAGGACATTATGCATATGACTGTTCTAGAAACCGCAGAGGTGGAGGTGGTTCGTCACGACGCAAGTCAAGGTTGGTTATATTACGTGCCTTTACATATTGTATATTCTAATAAGCAGTATATTTGCAATTTTTCAGCAGTGCCCTACTTACATGGGTAGAGATTTTCTTTCATTGCTAAAATTAAATATTAAAAAATAAAAAAAAACATTTAGCCATGTGAAAAATGGATGCAAATGAAAGTTGAAGTCAACCATGAGGAATTAAATGTTACCAAATGTTTATATTCTTTGAATTTTACACATGAAATTTTTATGTTTATTTCATAATGTACTTCATATCTTTGGATGTTCTAATTTTTCACCTTATAGACTGTATCATTCACTGAATCTCACGGGTTAAAATTTTACGCGTAGCAGATCCTCATTTTCCATATTCGGGTTTGATTAAAAACCAGCAGGCTCATTTAAGTCGTTTATTTTTCCTTTGTCACTTATTTTGTGTACCTGCTTTGCAGAATAAAGCTAAGATCAGCATTTCATCCCAGTTAGAGCAACCGTCACTAAGAATTAACCCAGTCATCAGTCTTCATCTACTACTACTTCAACAATCACCAACAACCATGTTAAGATTCGCAACCAATATGCATTTGGCATCACGGCCATGGGTTTGATTGAATTTGTCAGCTCACTCACCCCTGCAGGCAGCGTTTGTCAGCCTTCATTGCGGCGGTGAACATCTAAGATCAGGCACTTCCCTCGCATGATCTTAGAATTGAATCATCCCCCGTCACGCTAAGATCGATTGATCAACCTCCTTCTGCTAAGATAATATTCTGCCCTTGTGAATGATTCATCACAATGATATTGGGTCAACTCAACATCTTTGAGTAGGCGAAAATTGAGCACGGTAAAAAAAAGGTTGGAATATCGAAGCCTCATTAGAATGAGTTTCGTCAAAAACTGTTTTCAATCTTTTTTTATTTCCTAAAAATATAAATGAAACAAAAAGAGAATGGGGTATATCATACTTGTGCTCTGGTTGAAGGTTTCATTAGATATGGTTGTGGTGCTTTTCGGTGTTTTATATATTTTAAAAAAAAATGATTTTTAAGTTTAAATAATAGGTGGGGGTGGATTTAAAATGTAGTTTAAAAAAAATAAAATAGATAGAGTAATGCATGTATGTATTAAACAATCCCTCTCTGGCTTAGTTTATATATGAATCACAAAAAGGATTTGTGTCAAGACTCTTTTTGCAGTCTGTGCCCATTTGAAAATGTGTATAATGAATACTTTTCTTTTCAGATCCTTGAGTGTTCCTATTAGCAACATCTTAATTTTATTTTTAGACTAATTTTATATAGATGCTAATACTAAGAGTTTAATTTGATATAAAAACAGTTCTTTCTCAATTTTACATATTTTCATGCACAATATAAAATAAATGTTATGTTTAAGTTCTACTATTAGTATTTAAATAAAATGAAGATGTGCAGACTGTTACGTAAAAAAAAAAAGCAAATAATAGATAAAATGTGATTTCATTTAGGATGCTAAGTTTAAAGTCCCTCAACCACTCTGGCTGTTTTTGTTTGATTGTTACTATTTATATGCTAATAAGTCATTGTATATTTACAGATCTGCATCAAGGAGCTACTCTCGCAGTAGAAGTCGTGGCCGTAGGGATAGTCGATCCAAGAGCAGGTATGATTAAATTAACGATTTGAATATTTACAATATACACTTATTCTAAAACCGACTTTTTAATAAAAATGTATTAGGGAAGTAAGTGGTCAGCTTATGGGCAGGTCATATGCAATTTGTTATAATTTTAATTACACTGAATAATGAAATGCTTTTGTGTATTGCAAAGGTCCTAGTGTACCCTGTTCTCTGAAAAATCAAATGCTTTACCAAAAGCTTTAAATACTAAAGATATGGTGCCAGCCTTCACCTAATGTATATGTCTCAACTCATTCCCCCCCCCCGGGGCTTGAAATGACCTGTCCAGTGCTAGCTGATGTACCAAAAAGATTCATTTAACACTTCTTTAAGAAGACATTCTGGACAGACACATTTTAAAAAAAAAATTATTGAGCAGCATTAATGTAACACATGTGTGTCTACGCATGGAACAATTGTCTACGCGTGACACGTGCATCTACGTACGGAACGTGTGTCTACGTATGGCACACGTGCCTACGTATGAATGGTCCTTGCCATGGTAGTTCTCCGGGAGGCTGGCCGTGACCATCATGACATCCAAGTGGATGGATGTGAAGGGTTGGAGCCAGAGCAGATGGCCAGACTGGGGTTGTCTGAGTCAGTATGGCTGTCTAGAGTTGAATCACCAGCCTATGATTGCAACTCCAAGCTTACGGTATGCATGCTGGTGGAATCGAAGGGCGACCAAGAGTCATTTATTGAGATCTTAATGACATTCACATATGTATGTATGTATATATGTATGTATGAGTGTATGGATGTGTCTATGTATGCATGTATGTATGCCTGTGTATGTATGTATTTATGCATGCATGTGTATGTATGTGTGTATTTGTATGCGTGTAGGCATGTATGCGTGTATGTATGTATGTATGTATGTATGCGTGTATGTGTAGGTATGCGTGTGTTTATGCACGTGCTTACGTATGCGTGTATATATATATGCACGTATGTGTATGTGTATGTTTTCGGGTATGTGTATGTATGCGTGTGTTATGCGTGTGTTTATGCACGTGCTGACGTATGCGTATATATATATATATATGCGTGTATGTGTATGTTTGCGTGTATGTGGGTGTATGCGTGTATGTGTATGTATGCATGTGTTATGCGTGTGTTTATGCATTGCGTGTATATATGTATGTGTGTATGTGAGTGCGTGTGGGTCTCGCCATATCCTCATCAAAAAGGTGATATCTCTAACAATTCTCTAGACCACTCGGTGAACGCTCTGTGAAGTTTCCCCAATAATTCCACAATTCCATCAGTGGCTATGGACTTAGAGATTAGATGGCTCAAGGTTGCCCTAATGATTCGTCTCTTTGAAGTCCCCAGACTACTTTAATACTTGGAAGGTTTCTTATTTTCCAACACTTTTTTCCTCAAGCTACGTCTCCCTTACATTGTCCCATAAGCTAATTGTCTCTTACTTTGTGCCTAATATAACTTCTCTTTGACTTTCTCCCATAAGCTATTTGTCTCACACTTGCCTCAAACGGTTTCTCATTTTCTCTCTCACTTGTATTCTAACTCCCTTTTTTGGATGCCCTTTCCTTAACTCTGTCGATACCTCACTCACTCCGTCGGATTGCCTTCCCTCTCTTCCTCCTTCTCTGTTTCTCCTCATCCACCTGCCTGTCATTTCCTATCCGCAACGACCTGCCTGACATTCCCTGTCCCGCACCCACCTACATGACATTCCTCACCCCCACTCCCTCGTCTGTCATTCCCTGTCCCCAACCACCTGCCTGATATTCCCTGTCCCCTCCAACCTGCCAGTCACCCCCTGTCCCCATCTATCTTCCAGTTATTCCCCGTTTATTATGATAGGTCTTCCTCCTCATGAACACGTCGTTACAAAACTCTTGTTGCGAAATGTCAATGATTAATATTTTATGCTTGATAAAAAAGATTGATATAAAAAGAATGCTTTATAAATATCACATTTCCAGTCTGGCTTATTATATGTGTCCATATATTGGTGTGTTTTTTTGTAGATGTTTCTGTATACGTGTGTAAATATGTAAATGTGTACATGTGTAAATGTGTAAATGTGTAAATGTGTACATGTGTACCTTTTTCTTTATGTGTGCCAGCTTATTCAAGATATTTTCCATGTGTTGTCCATATTTTAAGACAGCAAGATACGTTAATCTCAATTCACCCGGTACAACATCTCAGTACAGCCGGTACAACATCTCAGCACAGTTGGTGCAGCATCTCAGCACAGTTGGTGCAGCATCTCAGCACAGATGGTTCAACATATCGGTACAGCCGGTACAACATCTCAGTACAGCCGGTACAACATCTCAGTGCAGCCGTTACAACATCCCAGTACAATTGGGGCAGCATCTCAGCACAGATGGTACCATATCTCAGTACAGCTTGTAGACACTTTTCATTTTTTTTAAAAATGGAATGCCATGTCGTTCAGTACACTATACTGTGTACATCATACCATCAATTTGTACACGGCAAGCATTAAAACTATACATATTTGTACATAAGTCAATCTGTTTTGAAGAAACTTGTGTGCACAATGTCTGCTGTTGTCTTTGGTGTGCTGTCTTAATGAAAGATCATGATGTCATAGAAGTGCACCACTTTGAAATGACAAACAGCAGACGTGTACCAATAGTTTCCCCCCTTCTTCCGGTCGGCCTTCATCCGTTATAATAGAATAATTCCTCATTTTCGATAACCTGTCATGGATCTACACGTCTCAGCTTATCTACCCCCTTTTTGGTGACATATCGCGCCATCTAACGCAGCCGACCTGTGTGATTGTGCCACGATTCCGGCTCACAGTGTTTCTTGCAGGGAGCGAGCAGTCAGGGGCGTCTAATGCATCTCTAGTTTAGTGTGCGCTCACAAGATTGGAGGTATTGGTGTCCCATTCAGGTAGCACCAGCACCTTCAGATTCAGCGAGCATGGGAGAGACTTCGTAGTTTCCGAGTCTGGAAGTGACGCCCCAACCTAATTATAGTTTCATCGTCTGCTAAAATGCAGGTAAAAAGTGCCCCACAGACTTACCCTACCCATTTTCCCCTTCTACTTGCCCCACCCGATTGCCCTACCCAAGCGTCCCACCCACGTGCCCCACCACTAGCCCCACCCTCGTGCCCCACCCAAGCGTCCCACCCACATGCCCCACCCACGAGGCCCACCCACGTGCCCCTCCCAGTTGCCCCCTTTGTCAGGAGTTGACGGCCTTCCTATAGTTTAGGATTCACAGTTCCAAGCAGAGTACAATCGAGGACTGCTTTGGTGGCGATTTCAGTGATTATAAATTAATTATCTCCCTTCTTTTGTTAAGAAATGTTTGACAAATTTTGAGTTTTACCAGTAATCAGTAATCTATAGGTACCAGCTAAACGCATTGCTTTCTTAGTTGGGGGGAGGGGGGGCTAGGTAGACGACGCCGTGGTGTAATATGCAATAACGATCATGCGTTTCTCTTGGAGAATGTCCGCTCAGCATTGTATGCACTCAACATTGTGTGCACTCAACATTGTATGCACTCGCCATTGCTCTTTGGAATCGGCCTGATGGCAAAAGGTCATTGCATGTGTCCCGTCTTTAAATAGATTTGTCTGGCTTTAGGGGATGCTTGTTCCAGGAAACTGTAGACATGACTTCAAGTGTCCTCCAAGGTCTTTTGTCTGTAATGTAAATCAGTTGTACCTTGGGAACGTTGTTTTTGGCCGTCAAAGATGTATCACTGTATATTGTTTGGTTGTGCACCACATCACCGTATATTGTTCCATTCCCGTGGCTGCATTTGAACCTCATGCAATATGTAATAGTTTTACCGAATTACCGTATCGAAACGTGATCTCATTTAAACGGTGCACCCCCGTGCACCAGACACCCTGGCCCTAACATGATGCCCATGCAATAGTTGCGCCCTGGTGTCAAGTTGTCTTGCAGATGGCACGCTGCTAACTACAACCAAAAGCTCATGTGACGGCTCGCCACTAACAAGATCCAATGCGAGTCTGGTGGCTCTGATTAATTTGATTACCTCAAAGCTGATCTGCACATTAACCACATAGCTGACATCTTGTTCTGTAAAACTTTTTTGTTGGTCTGCACGCAGGAGCACACATACATGGAACACATGTTAATTTGCCCATAACTAATTCCTAGTTTTCATACAACGTCTAGCCATTCCTTATGTCTACCAGCGTTCATTAACACTATGAATGCATCAACGTCATTTACAATGAGTATCCCATAATTTCCTATCTTATCATCAGACATGTAATATATCTATGCAGGCAGACTGTCTGCTGCCATTATATCCATGTGTAGAGTGGTCGCCATTGCATCGTGTGGTAAAGTGGTCACTGTTTTAACATAGGGTAAAATGCAGCATGGTGTACAACTGAAACATCATCTACAATTGCAAAATCATCTGCACCTGCAACAGCATCTACAGCTTAAACAGCATCTACAACTGCAAATTATTTTACAAATATAATGAAGTCGCAAAGCTACAACTACAAGGGGGTTACAACTCTAAATGTGGCCCCAAAGCTACCTCATGGGGGTTGGGGTGCAACTACAGAGTGGTGTTAACTTTAACAAACATAGAAAACTTGTTTTATGATGTGGGGATATCATAGCTTTATCAGCAGTCAACACACCACACACCTCACCCCCACACCCTTCAGCCCCCCCCACACCCACACACTTGCCAACCCTCACATCCGTGCCTTAATCCCGTTTCTGACTGTAACTCTCTGGGACCTGGAGCAATAAAGCCATGACGCTGTTATGTAAATATAAAATACAGGAAACTGCTCGAATAGATTAGCTCGTTCCTTATTGTGGCGGTCCCCAAGCTGTTTTCGCATGTACCCCTAGTTTGACCTAGAAGCATCACACACGCAGTGTGTGGATGAATTTAAGGATGTTCCAGGGGGTCATTGTTTTATACTTACATATCACAGTCACTGAATCACGTAGCAAAATCTGATGATTCA